ATTTTGCCCACTTAAAGCTGAAATTACCTAACAAAGATATGGGTATATTGTCAACCCAAGTATACAGAGCATAATAGAAAGAAAAACAGTACCGGGATCTCTTGTAATTCATGTGGTCATCCCGTTCACATACCCGTTAGTTACTTGCATGCAGAAATTAAATGTCATCCAGGGGTCAACAGCAGAAGGAAAGGACGTGAAAAAATCTCACATCACTCAGTGATGTAGCAGTAGGAGCCAAGGGTAAGACTAGAGGTGGAGTGGCTAGCACAAAATAAATCTGAAGGTCAGGATTTTCTCTATGATTCTTTCAGAGAGATAGTGTGAGAAGGAAATTCTTTGTCCTTAGGCTGACACCGCTGTAGCTTCCAGAAGTCAGAGAAGCCATAAAGAAAGAAGGAATGAGAGAAAGACTGCAGAGAGAGAGAGAGGAGTCCGTAGGAGAGTGAGCAAAGACTTGTTCAACAGGAGCTGGTTTCAAAAGGCTCTAGAACAGTCTTTTCACTTAAACATCCTAGAAATATTTATTTCCTGCCTTTGGTTTCCTTCAGTTTTCTTCCTGCCATTATTTTATCTGGATTTTAATTCTCTGTGGCTTTCAACCCAAAAAAATCTCTAAGCTTCTATTTGGTGCTTAATTTGGAATTTATCAAATTCTCATCTTTCTCTCCGATTTAACCCTCTTATTGAAATGTTTTTTGGATTTCTCCCTTATAAGTCATTCATATTGCCATCACCCTTGGGTTTTAAAATATTTATATTAGCATCTCAGCTACTACTCCACTTATTTTGTCCTACTCAGTCACCTACTTCTTGGCCTCTGGATTCAGACTTTCTGAAAGATAGGAAGAGGCCTGGGGATCTTTCCTTTTACAGATTATAGGCAATTTTTTAGACTCTTTCCACAGGGACTTACATTTCATATTTCCTACCTTCTTAAAAGATCCACCTACCTAATCTTTCCAAACTCTTCCTATACGGTCTGAAGAGTTGACAGTTTCATTATCTTGAAATATGAATTCGATCTTACATCTCCCACTCCCCTAGTTCATTTTCCCTGAACATCAAATTCTATGGATGGATGTATATTTCTATCAATCTTTCTATTTAATTTCTCCTTTCTGCCCCAGGTAGGACAACCTCCTTTCTGGTCTTCCAACACACTATGTTTCCCTCCCATTCACACTTAGAAATGATTTTTCTGCTTTTAGGTTCTGCTTTCTTTGTGTTGCAGTTTTCCTGCAACTTACATTAATCTTCATCTTCTTCAACTCATCTTGCACTTACTACTGTCACATACTGTTATTCACTAGGCTACAGTCTCAAACAGTGCAATAGTTAGCCCTTTAACAGAATATAATGACAGTTGATTTACTATTTCTTTGTTTTCTAATTGTTTCAAGCATGTCTTACCTCTCCAACCAGATAGCAAATTCATTCTTAAAAAGAGCACTATCTCAGAATCTCTTATATCCCTGAACTCCTAACATAAGGTCCGGTAAATTGATTGTAACTTTTAATTCTTGCCATTCTCATTTACATGGAAGGTCAAAAAACAAAGTATTTAGCAAAATTAGTTTAATAAGATAATTGAAAGCAGATAGAGTTCTATTGAATATCTATTTGACAAAGATGATAAATTCAGCAGAAATTTCTAAATTCCAAACCCATATATCCAATCATGTGTTCAATATCCCATGTGATAACTGATTTGTCCAAACCTGAGTTCTTGGAACCTACCCTCTCCCTCAAAAGAAAACCACTCCACCAACTTTCCTGTTTCAATTGACAGCAGCTCCCATTTCCTCAGTCCAAGAGTTTTAGAGCTATCATGAATCCACTCTTTCACTCAAACCCCATATTCAATCTTAAGAAATCCTGTTGGTTCTATTTTAAAATATGTCCACAGTTTGACCAATTCCCCCTACTCTCATTGCTACCACCTTGGCTCAAGCTACCATCATTTCTCAACTGGACTGCCGCAACAGTGCCCTACCTAGTCTCCCTGCTTCCATCCTTGCAAAATATGTGAGGTCATGTCACTTCTCTGCTCCAAACGTCTCAGTGGCTTCTCACCCCACAGAGAATACAGTGGCCTTACCTGCAAGACCCTGCGTGGATTGAGACCTGTTATATTTCCAGCCCATCTCCTCTTACCCTTTCCCCTCAAGTCCCCCTTTCTAACCACAGGGGTTTTGTTCCTATAATATACCAGATATTGTCCATACTTGGGACTTTGTGTAGCCTTTTCCTGATATGTTCTTCTCATAGGCATCATCAAGGTTAAGTCCCACCCCCTGTTCAAGGCCTTGTTCAAACGCTCCCTTCTCATTGAGGCTGCCTTAAAGGCCGAATTCTAAATTGTGACTTCTCTACCTGTTGGCAATCTTTATTCTCCTCTTTTGCTCTGTTTTCTTTCCACAGCGTTTATCACTTTGGCTGTCATGAAAATATGCCTCTCAGCTTAACTACAAGAGCACAATTAGCCAAGGGTCCTGGCTGCTGCACCCTGAAATCCATCCCTGTATTTGCAGCCAAGGTCACGCCTCTCGGGGGTCACTCCCAGCCAATGATTGAGTATGGCAGGAATGCTGAAACAGTCTTGTTCCTGGGAAACAGAGGACCTCTCTGGTAGCTGACCTTGGCTCCAGAACGCTCTCTGATGGCTTTGCAATCTTCCTTGGCCTATACTGCAACTAGGCTGTTTCCACCTGATTTTTCCTCTCTCTCTCTCCTTGACTCAAGTCAGACTCACCACAATCAGATCACTCTCCCAGACTTTCCTAGCTCCAGCCTTATCTGCCTACCTCTCCATTTTCCCTCATACGGTCATTCTGCTAATAAAACCCAACACATTAACCCATCTTGGCAATTGTTTCTTAGAGGACTCAGATTAACATAATCATCTTCTCACCTACAATATTTTGCTTGCTTATTATGTTTATCTTTCATTGCCTACTGGAATATAAATTCCAAGAGAGCAGGAATTTTGTTCATTTCCATTTCCCAAATATCTAGCACAATGCCCAACACATAGTAGGTGCTCAATAAACTAGTGCAGACTGAATAAATAAAACATACTTTAAAAACATTAGCAATTACTAGTATTATCAAGTAAAGAATAAACACAGGATGATATCAATCAGGTGTCACAACTCTGCTCCCTCCTAAATTCCCTGATCTTATTTTATCTTGTCCTCCCCTACACTGAAAACCCTTGGGATTTCCCCATAGCAGAAATGAGATTTGAAAGGTAAATCGTTTTCAGGAAGAGATCCAGACTAAAAACTGGATGACTGCCCATCCATTCTGGGCAGCAAATATGCAAGTATGACTGAGATATTTATCACTGCTGCTCTCTTGTCTTTAATTTCAGCCTAGATCTGCAGATAAACAAAATCAAAAGTTTTGAAGATTCAATTCATTTTAAAACTTAAATATCCATCCAGTAGTAGCCAAACTTGGTCCATGTGAAATTATTCTCCTCTTCTCTAGTCTCCCTAAACATCTCTTTTGAGGATGAATGAGCCAGAACAAACTTCTCTCAAGTGTGATTTTAGACTCTTGAAACTGGAGGGTTCACCTGGAGTTCTTGGTTGGGTGGCTGCAAATGACAATATGGGGAAATCTTTTCTCCATACGGCCACCTAGTTTCCCCAGAGGAGATTTCCAAAGGGTTCCACCTGAGAGGTTTACTCCTAGCTGTAAGTGTCCTGGGAGCTGGGTGGTGGAGGAGGTGGGGGTCCAATTCTTTCTCATAAAGACTGATTTAACCTTCAGCCTGTGTCTCACCCTGCCTGTTTCCTTGGGCAGGCTTGATGAATAATGGCTATTATAAAGTCAGACAGGCCAGGTTATGGCCCTGGCTTTGATGCTTATTAGCTATATGGCAAATCACTTCTCTGAGCCTTAGTTCCCTCACATTTAAAATCAGGATAATAGCACCTATCTTTTAGCACTTTGCAAGATAAATGATATATAAAGCATTTGTCTACAGAGAGTACTCGACAAGTATTAGTTATTATTACTGATATCAATAGTACAAAGGAAATTAAACCATATGTTCAATGTTTGGCTTGTCTTTTAACCTATTCAGTTGCATGTTGCTATGAAGGGGCCTGATAGAATCCAAATACACAGCAATGAGGTAGATGGTAATTAGAGTTTACTACATCAAAATTTAATTAGAGAAATGGTAGGGAAAAGAAAACAAAGTCAGTTGTAAAACGTCCAGCTTCTGCTTTGACCTAAGAGTTACACTGGGCTTGACTTTCTTTATCTAAAGAGCAAGAGCATACCCACTCGATGTCGGACTGCATGAGTTCGAGTATGTCTCTCACACTTTTCGATGCTCCCTTCTTTCTCTTGCATAACTGGTGAGGTCAAAATAGCCACCTTCCTGAAAGGCAAGAGTGTCATTTCTGAGCAAGGTCCAAAAGAACTGCATTCCATGGAAATCTAAGGCAAGAAGGAGCGGAAGGTGGTACTCAGCACTTAAACCACACTGATCAGTACTGGTGGGCCAAGCTCTTAATGGAGACACGTTAACACCCATGATTTTGCCATGACTTGAAGATTCCTAAGTTTGTAACAAACTGCTGAAATCGGAGCAGGAGATAGAGGAAAAGACCAGATGTAAATTTACCACTATATTAAGTTCTAAAGTAACTACAGCATTTTTTATTATTATCTAAAGCCAATGAGAGGAAGAAAGGCAAGAAGGTGACTTGGCCCAGTCAAGGTGAGGCTCTCTGTCTTTGAAAACCCTGGAGGAAAGTGCAGCTAAACTAAGTTTGTACAAACACACAGACTCACACATGCAGAAATGGTCATGTGTTGCTTGAGCAGAGGCTGATTACAAGCTCAAAGCATGTGCTCCCTGTGTCACTCCTGTAAAGTAATGAATTGGGTAAGGAATGGTTAATAAGAAAATGTGCCTTGCTAACTGCGCACATTACAACAAAGAGCTGGCAGCCCTTGAAGGAAAAGGGCTTGTGCCGCTGCCGTTCAAACTTGTCAGTCAACTAGTGCCAACAGCCTCAGCGTCTGCCTCCCCAGCACACCCTCATTACATGTGCCTGTCTAGCCTGATCTGTACATCTGCTCAGAGACACTCCTGCCGAGTCGGGGATTTCTGCCTTTCACCACTGCTGTAAAGAGCTTCTCCTTGCTCACCCCCGCTCCTCTCCCCAAGGAGGCTCCTGCTTTATGGTAGATTTGGACTTCCTTCGCCGTCTGCCTGCCCTTGACTTCTAGAATGGAAGAAGCTGAGCTGGTGAAGGAGAGACTTCAGGCCATCACAGTAAGTCTGCATAATAGTTATAACTCATGAAGGTGGTTGCTTAGAGGAACAGCAGAAACAGTGTTAGGTGCCCCTGCCGCTGAGCCCCGTTAAGTGGAAAAACAGAACTGTCATCCTACGTGGACATGTCTCTGCCACTTTCTTAACCCTTGTGACCCTCTGTACCTCTTGGGTTTGAGCAACGAGCAAATAAATGCTCTTTATTTTTCACAAAACTGTGCCAACATTTTAAACAGCAATCAGAAGCTTTTGAGGCAGTGTTTGCTAACTGCTTTTACTGTCGTTCACCTTCTATGTACCTTAAAAATGCAGCTTTTCCTTAACTTTATATTTGACAGACATTAGATCAAAAAATAGATCTCCAACTTGGAAACTTTTTAAAACATTGAATAGCCAAAAAGTTAAAATATTTTAAGAGAGGGAGAGAAAAATTAATGAAACAGACAACTTGAAACTTTTTATTTGCAATGTGGTAGTATGTCCCAGAAAATGGAACAAAATTAGGAGTGTTTTTGTACTTCAGCTAAGCTGTTAAACAAGAGAAAAGTAGGTAAAAGCATGTATCAGATTAATTGTATGGTATCAGCTTCCAGCAGAGTCACAAACTGAGCAAGATATTGATAAAGGAACGCACTGCATGTAATGCAATGGATTTGGAAAATATTTTATTAATACTGGGAAGGAAAATTGTCCATTTTTAAAATTTGTCCTGGGAAAGAGACAAAGCAAGAAATGAATTACTTTCCTTAAATGATCCAGCTTTTAAAAAATTTTTACAAAATCATGTATTTGGCAGTAACCTGGAAATCTGTGGCACAATCATTTATCATTAGCTGCAATTTGTGATATAATTTTTTTTTAATTTTGAAATCAACATCCCAACTTCTCAGCATTTTCTACCACTGAAATTAGCTGTCAGGAAAAAATGAGCACTTTTTAAAACCTGATGCTAAATCAGGGTGGGTAGGAGAATATCAGAATTTGCTCTTCAAATTGCCCTAGTAATAATGCTAATCCCAATATAGAATTTATATTAAGAGGATACAGTGTTTCAGTTTCACCCAGAAAGGATTCAGTAAGTTGAAATATTTCCTCAGCCAATGGTAAGAAACCAGAAGTCCATGGATAAGGTTGGCACTTTTCCATAAAACAATGCTTTTGAAATGTCTAACTTCTAATCAGTACACTTTCCTTTCCTGAGAAAACTTTGGTTTGGATTGTTGTTTGTTTTGTTTTAATCTTTTTTGTTGTTGAACTCGCCACCATTTCAGCTGTCCTGCTTTAAGGGGCAGGAACTGAGCCCCACTGTTGTTTTTGGCACAGGCCTTTTGCATTACAGCTGTCGTCTAAAGGTTACTTTATTAGACTGTGTGAGTTGTGTGGGTGCAAGCTTCACTTTTTCTGATGCTTCTACCACCTAATTAACTGAACTAAATCATGTATCCAACAAAACACACAAGTAGCCCCTTTAAGAATTGCAGCACACCCGTGCTGAAGCCCTCATTACCTGCTGTGCGCCTGATAGCTCGCCCTGAAGCCACACGTTCTAAAGGAATAACTGCATCCTGTTATTCAGGGAGACGAGGAGTTTTCACTGAAGTTTCAAATGCAAATAGAGATAGAACAAGACTCACAGTGCCTTTCAAGCAGACAGGAGAGTAACTAGGTTCCTCAATATTGTAGCATACACTCTGATGATTTTAAAAAACTGCTTTTTGAATTCTTCCGTTAGCCTAAACATATACCATTAGAGAGAACTAAGCAAATTCCAAAGGAAGATCACATAGTAATTCTCTCTTGGAAGTGATATGTATGTTGAAAGGTTGTAAGGAAAACCTTAGAAAAAGTTTATGGGAACAAATTTCCACTAGCCTATACCTCACCAGGCTAAGTCCAATTACATTTGTCACCACCTACAGGGAAAACCGGGCAGTGGGGTGTCCATGGAAACAACACAGCCACTCATTCTCCTCCCAGACACCTGGGCAAGGCAGGCTTCTGCACCCTGGCCTTACTCAGGACCTGCCCCAGCTGCTCCCCGCTCCCTGGGACAAGGGACACACACAGCAGCCAGAGAGTCTGCCGACGTTATTTCTCTTCTGGAAATACTTAAAAATCTTCAAACCCTCGCACCTGGACTAAAACCCAGAGCCCGTCTTCTTATTTTAACTGTTTTTCTCCTATTTCCCTGCACTGAAATGATTCTGCATCAGAAGACAATTGTCCAGTGTACCCAAAACACAGCAATTCACAGACTTCACTTTGTTACGGGGAAAAAAAACAGAACTTTTACACTCTAAGATCGATTTGATCTTTATCTAGAAATTTGTTCCTCCAATTCCGGTCTATGAAATGAAATCATCTTCACAGTTGTATTTATTCCATCTGGTTTCTAGGGCCCAAAAAGTCGTTATATCCACTGCAAGGAATTGAAAAAACAAATATTTATGACTATAGCTTGACAGAACCAAGTGCCAGTTTTCTTGTTGCTCTTTTTAAAGAAAAAGATTAAATACAGAAAGGGGATGGAATGTGGTACTTCAGCTATCAAATTGAAAACTAAATTACTCTGATGGTGCCATTCATTTCTCGTATCACTAAATTGAATGTTTGGTAAGTCAGAAGTCTTCTCAAAAACTTAAAGAGAATAAAGAAAAAAATTATGAAAGTACACAGAAATGATGGTTTCAAGGGAGGAATAGTTTAGGCGTACCAAACATGGATTCTATTTTGCATACTTATGCTCGTGTTCCTCCTCCATTATTTTATCCATGCGCCAACTCTTCCCTTACTGAATTAATGGCCAAGTATCTCTTAGCGAAGGAGTTCAGTTTTCAACTATAACTCAAAAACAGGGCTGCTTCAAACAAACTGATTAAAAATTACTTTAATTTAAAAGTCTCTTGAGGCTCTTTCCAAGTTAATACATATTTTAACAAACAGCTGAGTTTCATACAAAAGGAGAGCTTTTGGAGGAGACTAATCATTTGAAATCTACTTTTAACACTCCTGAAACTGATGGCCACGCTTGTCTCCAGCATAGAGAGTTTCTGTCCGGGAGTAAACAGGGCCCACACTAACTACCAGTGAAAAGGCCCAGGTGGATCCCCTCAGAAATAGAAAGATAACCTTAGGATGAATAATATACCATATGCAGTTGACATCCTCTTCACAAGGAAGGTATCTTATCTCTATTCCTACTATGATGTTAGGAAACACTGTTACCAAATAATATGGGATATCCGGACTGGAAAACTAGATTTTACAGTGGCTAGACATTGTAGACTTGAAGAAAGAGCACCATTTTGGGGGGTGACTCAGAAGAATTCTGAGAACTAGAATCAATTTTCAGAGAACAGACCCAGCTGGGGAGAAAAGAGGAGAGCATAAAGCTGGCATTTTATTCTCATCAAGGCTTACTTACCTTCAGCTGTTAGGAACATGTGTTACCAACTCATTCTCATTCCTTTACCCAATGAAGTTCCCAAGCACCTACTACGCCCCAAGCCTTATGCATTTAAATGAAAAGAAGTCCAACTAGAGGAATCAGGAGTGTCGGACGGGGTGGGGGTGGGTTGCAATTTGCAGCAGAGTGGCAGGGATGATGGCCCTCCCAGAGAGGGTGACATTTGAGCTTGGCTGTGAAGGTGGTGACCTCTGTCAAACTTAAACAAAAATAATAATCACCAGAACAAGCACCTGCCTATGACTGACTCCATTTGGAAAGGAGCCAAATAAAGTCCTGACCCTGGAATTTGAGCAACAGAGCCAGATTTGCTGGCCAAAGCTGCTCAGGATGCAAAATAATAAGGAGCTCTCACATTTCCCCCATTCCATTCCCTGTTTCTCTCCACTCCCAAAGGATTTTTTTCTAGACTTGTAAACATGAGGATTTAGGAGGCAAAAAATTCTTTACATAAGACAGAAATCTACCCAATACAGAGACCAATATGACAACAGTAACAGACACATGCAAACTCACATTATTTCTTGAGCACGTACTGAGTATCACTGGACGCTGCGCCTCCTCTTCTCTTTTTTTCAGCATTTGGTACCTTCTAACATTTAATGACCTTAGCACTGGGCCTGCTACCTAATTATTGGAGTCCAGGACACAGTGAAAATATGGGACCCTGTTCAAAAAGTATTCTGCATTTCAAGACAGTAACAGCAGAGCACTAAACCAAGTGCCGGTCACTTCAGAATGTGGCACTGGGGAGGACTTCCCAGGTCACATGCCCAAGAAATCAGCCCTACTTCTCTTTCTAAGCTGGCCGTATGCATCATCTCCCTGTTCATTCTGCCTATACAGAGGAAAGTGAAAATGAGAATAAGCCCACCTGGGTCTTTGCTAAAGTTATACCTCAAAGTATGTTTGGATTGTTGTACTATTTAGAGTTCTAAGGACTTCTTACAGTATTAATAGCTAAAAGAATGCATACTGCACCTTGTTCCAAAGTACTTTCTGGTTAAGACACAGTTAAAGGAAGAGCTCCTAATTTGTTGTGAGCTCCCAAAGACATTCACGCAATGATGGTGCATGGGTGCAGGAATCTCCTAAATACAAAAGTCCAGTGCCAGAATATTCAAACGATAAAGCCTCTGCACTATTTTCCACAGTGCTGTACTGAGATTACATGTTTCCTTCAGAGAGGGAAAGGCTTCTTCAAACAAAGGTGCTGTACCACATTTCTTTGCCAAACATAATAGCCCACCCACAAAGGAGACCATGTGACGAGGTAGAATGATTTTGATAGCTCATTAAGGAAACTGCTTTTTGATAACAGGGAAAGGTTTTTCCAGGGTGCCACAGAATGATGTTACTCTGCAAAGCCCTCTACTTATAAGGATCCCCATGAACTTTCTGAACATTACCAGATTATCAACAGAAAAGCTGCTTTTTTAGAAAACTGTGATTGAAATAAATCAGTCTAAGCACCAAAGTTTGCCTAGAGTCTAAACAAGTGCAAGATAGTTCAGGCTAAGCCTGAAACTGGATTTCTCCTTCTAATCTCCAGCTTGAAACCAACTAGCTTCTCTTAAAAATAATAATAATATTCTAATTTAAGTGGCAGTGGTGTCATTTTGGTAAGAGACTTCTTGAAAATGTATTGTCTCAAGAAGTTCCCTCACTAGGAAACTTGTGAAGTGTCTGCTTTCCTAAGACACCATAGACACCGTAGGAGCAGTTTGGATGAGATCTGTACTTAGTTAGGGCTTCTATGTAAAAGTCCCATTGACTGAGTGGATTCAGTCAAGCCACTTAAGACATGGAACCAGGTTATTCCCTGAACTCTGAATGGAAATCGAAACTGGCTCCGGTTCTGATAACCAAGTTTTCAGTGTGTAACTGCATCAGCGAGGCAACATATTAAACAGAGCTACAACAGCTATTCAAAATCAAGCTATGCTAACAGATCTAGAACATAAAGTACATCTCAGAAGCAAAAGAATTCTGAGAGTAATAGCAATAAGAACAGCACCATGCCTACACAACATTTACACTTTTAAAAATTTGTTTTAAACTTTCATATCCATGTCTCATTGGCCCAAATAGTCCTATAAGTATTTTCAGAAGCAGATATCACCCTTAATTTATAGATGGAAAAACCTAAGACCAAGAAAAGTTAAGGGATTAGTGAAGTAGTACAACCTGCATTCATTCTTTGCTTGTCAGATTCTCTGACCACAATATCACAATAAATTCTAATAAGCACCAGAGGCACAAACCTCACCCCCAGTCAGAACTTTCTCTGCGGTTCACTCGTAATAGAGTTTGAAGTGCAGGAAGGAGAAGATTCTATGGAGATTCTGCTTCACTGAAGCATATTTTCTCACCCGAAGCAGTCCCTCAGCCCTTGTAGTCTGCCCCTCCTTACCCAGGCCACCAGGAGTATACGTGCAGAAGGAAAGATTATGAAGCTATTTCAGAAGCATTTGTTATTGCATTAATAGGGCTGCCACAGAATCATTTTTTAGAGCATCCTAAGCCCTTGTGACCTTTTCCCCATCCCACTTCTATCCCACAGTCTATTTCCTCCGTCCAGGGTTTCTTGAGGCCAAGACATCACTGTGTCTGTAACAGCACCCCGCACTGAGTCAGGGCGAGCTGGAGCACACAGAAAAATCAAGAACGATTAAATAAATGAATACTATCAAGCTGAAAGGAGGAGAAAGTTAATGATTGGTCTACTAACAGATTTTTTTTTTCACTGAAGACATGGACAAGTTTACCATCACCCCTTTATTATTTAGGGACTTGTTTCGTGTTTACTGTTTATCTTTGTGTTTAGTTTTGTTTTGTCACTATTCATTAGAACAAACAATGATAGACAAAGGAATAAAAGAGTAGTATACGAACTAGATGCTAAAGATTTGTCAGAATTTGTTGTAAGGCTGGGAAAGAAGACTAAAGTTACTGAATAAAGTGAGGTTTGGAAAATGTGTTCTTATTAATTCACCCCATAAGAAGTAGTTACAACCACATCCAGTTCCCATTGCTAACTTAAGAATTAGGGTATTTCTATTCTTAACTTTTTGAGGAACCTTCATATTGCTTTCCGCAATGGTTGAACTAGCTTACATTCCCACCAGCAGTGTAGGAGAGTTCCCCTTTCTCTGCATCCTCACCCGCATTTGTTGTTCTTAGTCTTTTCGATGCTGACCATCCTAACTAGTGTGAGGTGATATCTCATTGTGGTTTTTATTTGCATTTCCCTGATAATTAGTAATGTGGAGCATCTTTTCATGTGCCTGTTGGCCAAGACAATTTGGAGAATTGTCTGTTCATATCCTCTGCCCATTTTTTAATGGGGTTATTTGCATTTTGGTTGTTGAGGCATGTGAGTTCTTTATATATTTTGGACGCTAACCCCTTGTCGGATACGTCATTTACAAATATATTCTCCCATACTGTAGGATGCCTTTTAGTTCTATTCCAAAGCTAGATGCAGAAATAATCATAGCACTGGAAGAAAACAAAAATTTCTTTGTTCACATTCCCATCCTGGTTACAACATTCTCAAGAGATGTTCACCCAGCTTCTCCTTGAATAATTTCAGTATCAGTGGATCAATACCTCCCAAATACCTTATTCCATTTGAGAATAGCTCTTTGTGTTAAGAGCTCTGATATAATGTGCCAGAATCTAGTTCTCTTTATTTTCCACCCAATCATCATGACTCTAGTCACTGAAGTTATACAACTTTGTTTACTTTATTTCATATTCCTCATATCACAGGTGTATTCTGGACACTCTTCAAAAAGTCAGTGTTGCTCTTAATATTTGGTGCTCAGAGTTAAACAGAAGAACACTGACCCACAGACAGCCCTTGGTGCTATAGCATCCCTTGTTTGGGGAATTGCGTTTATACTGACATATCTGGGAAGTGATAAAGTCATATAAAAATCACCTTTGGAAAGTTATAGAAAATTAGATTCAACACCATTTCCAACATTGGGCCAACCACATGACTTGAGAAAGTGAATAAACTCTCTAGCCCTTAATCCAATGTCTCTAAAGTTAAATAACTTGAAAGTTCAGTAATCAGATACACAATGAATATATAAATACCAAGGCTTTCTGAAAAACAATTATTCAAAAGAGGTATGAAAACATCCATAATAACTACAAAATTTTTTTAAACTGTTAAAACATAAAAATAATCCTACTTAAGAAATATGCAGAATTTGTATGAAGAAAATAAATGTTATACCTACTGTGGATATGTGCAAAATTTATATACAAAAACTTGACTAAATGGTATGTGTGTCTGGAGGCACACCACTCCTTGAAGTGAAGTTTGAATATAAAAAGCTGTCATGTATTTCCATATTTATTCTAAGTTTAATGCAACTCCAATCAAAATCTCCAAGGAGGTATTTTTCTTAATTGAAATATAGGTGACATAGAATATTATATTGGATTCAGGTATATAACATATTGATTCAACAATTATATAATGAAATGCTCACCACAATAAGTGTAGTTACTGTCACCATACAAAGTTATTACAGTATTGACTATATTCCCTATGCTGTACTTTCATTCCCATGACTTATTTATTTTGTAATTGGAAGTTTATTATCTTCCAAGTCGGGGGGTGGGGAGGAAGCTCTTTATCCCCTACACCTGTTTTGCCCATCCCCCTACACCCCCTATGGCAACCACCAGGACGTTTATGTTTATTTCTTTACTGACTTAGTATTTAGGTTTTCTATCTCTTCTTGCAGGGCGTTGGTTTAAAAATATGTTAAGACAATTGCTTTCAAATATATTTTACTTTCTTCTCACCTTTACACAAAATTCTAAAAGAATAAAATAAAAAACTTTGTCAACAGCCATGCTAAAACCAAGATATACTGAATTCCCATGATCAACGTATCTCCTTTCCTCAGTTTCTTCACCTACATAGTGAGGATAAATGTGGTCCCTTAAGTGCTTTAAGTAGTTCCTGACACATAAAAAGTTCTCAGTATGTTAGCTATTGTTACAACCATCATAATCTTCATCATTTCCAGATCTTGAAAAATTAAGCAAAAGAAATATAGTTTTAAATGTTTTGCTTTTATAATCGAATACTATCTGAGACATTCTTTGTCTAAATACAACACTGTTTAATAATTCATTCTACAGCTTTGCCAGGGATTAACCAGTAAGTTCACCAGTCTTTAAATATTCATAATTCACCTTTTCCTGTCCTCCCAAAATTGAGGTGTTTGCCACATTCAGTCATCTGATACTTCTTCACTTCACCCAAGATTCCGTGATTACTAGACAATATTTTTCTGTCCTGTCTATAAATGTTTCTTCTCCCTGAAATGAGTCTGAGGAGCTCTTTGGTGCTTTATTTCCTCTTGGGCTTCGATTTTCCTTTGAGCGTATTTGTGTCAGCCTTTCTAGGATCAAGATTGTTCTCCTTAATCAAAAATATAGAAGCAAAATAGGAGTGGAATAGTTCTAGAGTATGTCTGTCATGTTGCTATTATACTACGTAGCTCAGCAAAAGTCTGATAACTGCCTTTATCTTTTTGCTCTCAACATATCTTAAATACATACACACATACACAAGTGTGTGTGTATATATTATATACGTTATATATATATTATATATATGTATGTATTTATACACCCACATTTTTTGTGCCTTCAGTGTTTTTCACATCTTCACATCACCTTAGATTTTTACCTTGCTTACACTACTGCAAATACATATCACCTACTTATCTTCTTTCTTGATTTCATGAACTCATTGGGGAGCTCCTAGTGATATTAAATTATTTGTTTTGTTTTGGTTACAGTATTTCCCTTTTCTCCTTACCTGAAATCATTATGTATCCATGTTTCCATTTGTAAATTGCCCATTCTTCATGCTCTTGGAATATTTGTCCCTTTTTCCAAAAAAAAAGAAGAAATTTTTCTAAAAATTTTTTCAATAATTTTTAAAATCTATTTTCACTGAAATCTAGTAAACCTCTAACTATGCTCAGGATTCTTTTCTAGGACTATTGTGTTAGTGCACAAACCTCTTTCAAGGTTACCATTATTTGTACATCACCAGGAAGTTCTGCATTCTTGGTAATTTAAATTCAAATAAACATTTTTTCTTATTGTTCTTTTGAGACCTTAAGGAATGAGAATGTCAGCAAGGTATAGTCATGAAGTTATAAGGCACTTGGCTTCTAGCAGAATGAATCTGAAACCATTTGACTAATTGGATCATTTGGCCCAATTCACCAAGTTTTATTATAAATAATACGTTTGATTCCAAATCAACTTCCATATGGATTCCCTTCCTCCTATGCCCCCTAAATGTAGGTGCTTCTAAGGATCTGTCATTAACACTCCTTTTCCTTTCCTAAACATGTCCCCTGTCATCCTCTAACCTTGTCTCCTAACCACAACTAAACCTTACAAAATTCCTGTATCTTTATATCTAGTTCTGACACCTCTTCTGATCATTCTCCAACCAATGTGTCAACTACTTACCAGATCATTCAACCTAGTTGTCACAAAGACACTTAAGCTTAGTGTGAATCCACCATCTTCCCTCCCAAACTCTCCTTTCCTCTGAAATTCCTATTTCTATTAGGCATTCTGCTCTCCTTCAGTTCCCTAAGCATAAAAGCCTTGTACCACTTCCATTTGACCTCTTCCTCTCCTGCATCCACATATCATCAGTTGCCAAGTCCTGCCAATTTTAACTCCATGGTATCTCTGGCATCCACACCCCTGCTACTTCTCATTCAAGCTCTCATAGTCTCATATATGAGTTGTAGCCTCATTGATTATCCCCTTCAAGTTCTCCTATCAGTATCTACTCCACAGTTGGGCTACATTAAACTTCTTAAAACACAGTTATAACTATCATTCCTCTCCCTCTGAAAACCCTTCATTGCCCCATCTCAATACAGACATAAATTCCAAAGCCCTTGTTCTGACATTCAATATTCTCTATTGAGGATTTATCCTAATCCTATTATCCATTTCTTATTACCCTCTCCTTCCTTACAGAAACTTAGATTCCATACTTGCTGTTCCAAATAATGTCCCAATTTTCTACTTCCAGGCATTGCTCACACTGAGCCCTTGACATGAATACCCTTTCTCCCCACACCCCAACTACCCAGCAACTACCCCACATACTCAGCTTGGAAGCTACTTCAAAGCCTGTCCCTCCCATTTCAGCTAGAAGCAAATGCTCCCTGTCAACCCCCAACTCTCATAATACCTTACTTGTGCCTTAGTAATGACATTGGTAACTTATTTCTTAGACTGTAGCTACTTGCACAAAAGATTTTCTTTCTTTATGAGAATGTGAGTTCCTTGGTGAAAGTATCTACTTCAGAATAATTTTTAAACATTGCACAACTAATGTCACCTTGAACACAGCATTTGTGCATCAGTACTTAAGTGTTGGAAAAATTAATCATTAAATAACTCAGGGTTTATTAATGCCTTTATGGATTCAGGCATTTTAGAATATTAGCTAATTATTAATCAATAATATTTCTAAAATACACTCTTAATATTGTGCTTACTTTCAAGTATGTGATTGAGATATCATTAAATCATAGATGGTCACAAGAGCTTTATGGTTGCATAAGGGAAACAAATTTATTTTCAAAATAATTGAGGTAGCCTTTTACAGAACAGAAATTTGTGGGTCTCAATCACTAATATATTCTAAGTCAGACAGCTAAAAGTCTAGACAGTTGTTCATTAAACAAATATCTTTGTTGAACATTGAAGAGGCAAACAGCAGCAAAAGTTATTCATAATACTTAATATTAATAAATACCTGATATGCCAGGTTACAGTTGGTATCTATAGAAGTGCTCAAGCTTCTGCAGAAATTTTGGGAAGCGGATGGCATTTCATATCTGTTCCATGATAATTCAGGAAAGAATTAAATGGCTATGATAACTGAGTACATGAGCAATGGAGCTAGATATAAAACTAAGGTTGACTTACAGTTTACCCTGACATTGTGAAACTGAACTATTGCCATATTATTTCTCAATAAGGCTTACAGATCCCTATGAAATTTGGCAAAAAGATAATAACTTGCTATTGATGAATATCTTATGAGGAAAAAGTACTCCTATCTTAAAATAGAATCATGCCTGTAACATTACAAAATTACCTTCCTAACCACCTCCACTGATATGAGAGAAGCATCACATTACCCCTGAGAGACAGAACATTGGTATTCCTTAGCAACCCCTCCATAAACCCTGTGTTGCCAAAGCACTTCAGACGCCCTGCTGATACCCACAGATTTCGTTACCTCATTACTAACACCAAGATGAAGCCAGCCCAAACCGGCTATCAGCAGGGGTGGGGAAGCACTGCTGGGTTCAGCAGGCATTGCCGCAGGGACAGACCAAGTGCTCTTCCTCACAGGCTATCTGTGGAGAGGAGGATTGCAGACCACCACTCAGGAAGTAAAACCGTGTTCCCTTCCGGTGAGAGGCCCCCTCCTGCAGCGGGCTGTGCTCCTTAATGATGGACTGGGAGGGCAGTTCTGAGAAGGTAGACTCATTTCCCACTTAGAGAAATGGTGTGGTGAATTGACTGAGAGTGTGGTGTCTTAACTCAAATTGCCTGGGTTCAAATCCTGGTTCTTCCACTTAGTTGTGAGAGCTTGGATTAGTTAATCTCCCTAAATTTGCATTTCCTATTCTGTAAAATGGAAATTATTACAATATCTCTTTGTTATTATGACTACTGAGTGAAATAGCACCTGTAAAATACTTACCAAAGTGTTTCACACAACACATTTTAAATATTACTAATATTTGCTCACTTGCAGCCTCGAGACAGAGAATTGACTCACAGATTTTCAGAGGGTTTTTTCTTTCTAATGAAAATGACCAGATTTTTTCCTAAGAAAATAAGTGATTCTATAGACCCATGCTTGTTGCTTTTTTTTCCCAAAAAGAGTGACTAAAGAAATTTTTTAAGTAATGCTGATGAAGCCTTATATTCTTCTTATACACAAAGAGGACCATGACATCTAGTTGGAATGCAACATGTTATTTTTCTTCAACAAATGTACCTGAACTTATACATCAAAAAAGAGTGTTTATCATCAAAGGGCTCACATCAGGAAGCCATGCACAATGCTGCCAGAAATTTTTGGAACCCTTCTTTCTAAATTACCTCTGAGCTTGCTTCAGATCCTTTCAGATGTCTTCATTGGCAACAACTGTTTATCCTTTGGGAGTTTTCAATTTGAAAGCAGATTTAAAACCAAATCTTATACACAAGGTAGAGGATAATGTCACCTCTGCCAAAAATAAAAATATAAGGGCCTTTTTGCATAGTTTATAAAATGTCCCAAGCAATTCCAGAGAAAGAATTTCTAAACTATTCCTGACTATTGGAGGCATTTTCAGAATTAGTGGGTTAGTTTCTGTGTGACTAACAGGTTATGTGTTTATTTACTTAATTTTATTAAACAAATACATGAAGAGCACTATGGTCAAGCACTGTTCTGGAACTTCTACATCTATTAACCATTTAATGCTCATATCTAATGAGATAGCTACTCTTATTATCCCCATTTTACAGGTAATTGAAGCACAGAGAAGTTAAGGATTTTGTCCAAGGACACAGAGCTAGTAAAAGGCAGAGTCAGAAATCGAACCCAGGCTATTTAATATTCCTGTCATATTTTCAAAAAAGTACAACCTCTGTGCATTAATAGTTACACTTTCTGGGTTTTGTGAGGTACTGCAATTGAAGCTTGGTGAAAGATACTGTATGTCCCCATGAATTTGTAACCTTAGTTTAGCAAGCAGTATCTGAATCCTTTTCTCTCTATCTTCCCAAAGCAAGTTACACAAGAAGGAAACGGTCCCACGTTCTAGCTTCCTAGTTTTCTAATGCTCTGTAGGTTTTCCTATTTTCCCACAGAAGCAGATCTTTCACCCAGAATTTTCTTCAGGAAATCTCTCTCCTCGCAATGTGTCCCCCTGCCTACTTCAAAACCCTCTCCTTCAAATTCACTTTTTCCATTGCATCACTCAGCAACTCAGTCTTTCTGGACTAATGCAGAAGATAGAAAAGGGACACAGGGAAAGAAAAACATTAAAATATTTTAAAATTCTCCTTGGAAAAGCACCTTATATCATTTTCCATCAGCAAAATGCATGGAATGTTCCACTTTGCTCTCCTTTACTTTGAAATATGAGATTCCACATCAACTTCGTACCAATGCCAAGGGCATAGCACTGGCCAGCCATTCAAGGGCAGCGACCCTGAGGAAACATATTTAAGCAAATTGAAAAACAAAAATGATCATGCTGGAAATTTTTTATTTCAGCATAAAAGAAAAATACAGGAAGAAATCTCACAGAAGCGTCTGAAGATAGAGGAAGAAAAATTAACACACCAGCATTTGAAGGTACTATGATTTTAATTTCATTTCAATGATTTGTATTCAAATGTCCTAATGGCACTCAAATTTCAATAGTAAAGATGCTTTAGGAAGGAAAAAATTCCAAGATAGTTTTACTAACACCCTAATAACCATAGGGGAGGCCAAGAAGCTAGTAACATATGTATATGAGATTAATACCTTCGGGTAAACATATGGGAAAGGAAAACATGGCTTTATTATTTTTATCCTTTATTACTGAATTTCCTCATTCTCTTGGGTAACCTTGAGAACTCAGCCTTGATAACTTGGCCCTGAACACAGTCTTGCCTAACATCCCTAGGGAGTGGATCCAGCTAGAAGTCCCTTTTGAAATTAATGAAAGGCTAGCATTTCCCCAGCGGGTGCAGAGCAGTCCCTGTCTGGCCTGGTCAACGATGCTTTATTTAAAAACTCTATGCAGTGAATCCAGTGTTTGTGTATAGTTGGGATTTGGTTTTGTTTTGTTTTGTTCTGTTTTGGCAGAACATGAGATCATAACCAGAAATAAACCTCCATTTTTAAAATCAGACTTGACTTCTTTCATGGGTGTAGTCACTTTGTAATTAAAGCACATTGAGTTTCAACGTTTTATTACGCAGCTTAGTCACAGGATGCAACCAAATGACAAATAGGAGCTCCTTGTGAACAGGCCCAAGCAGGAAACTATTTATCTGGCCAGGCTGCTATCAATAGATTTAATGAATCCCTCAATGAAACAATGCTGCAAGCTCGTGGGATCTACAAACTTAAGGTAAACTTGCCAAATTCAGCCAAATCCACCTTTCTGATGGATCAAGTAACCACCTCTGAGAAGAAACATAATTTAAGATTCCATTTAGTGTCAGTTCTCTTGATTCTGTTTGCTGCTTTGCTCTTATATAAACTGACATTTCCAATGTCTGATGGATAATTTCAAGTTAGCCTGCTCTCCTTACAGTATGTCACACTGAATTTACATGAGTAGTAGACAAAACCAAGAAAGGCAGTGTGTACTCCAGAGATATCAGTGAAATGAAAGCAAATTTTTCCAAGTTATTTCAGTACACCTCTAATGAAGACAAAAGTCAAATCTTCAGTTTTTGAGATAGACCATTTCTAACTCCATAATCAGTGCTGGGACTCTCCCGCCCTCTCCTTCTCGCACATATGCACACACAAACATAATGAACCAATTCCAGTTTCTGAGGAAATCAATAGCTTTCTAGCATTTGGCAGTTGCTCTTCTTGCCAAATGGGTAGTGAAACAGTAGAGCTCACTGTAAGAGAAAAGGCTTAAATATCCCCTTGGTTCATTCTAGGAAGTAAGTTTCACATAGGAAAACTGACTCACTGAAAGGTCCGTTTCTGAGGTGGCACTCTTTTCAAAACTTGCCAAAAAGAGTCTAAAAAGTAATACATGATCTTCCCTATAGGTTTGCTTTCTGGAACCCAGGAGACCTCTTCTAATCTGAGCCAATCAGGATGTGTATCACGCTTTGGACTGCTGTACACAGTTGCACAGATTGTGCACTGCACAAAGATCCCTGAGAGTGGAGGGCTAAAATCCTGCCCACTTTCCCTTGGAACCATGTACCTGACTCAGGGCTATTTCTGTCTGGAGAATGAAGTGTGGTTTTTTTTTTTTTTGTTCTGGGCAAAGCTGCTATCCACCTTCTCAAGTTGTGCACTGACCTGAAGGGTAGGAGTGGGAAATGGTACTTTTCCTAATTTGCATACTAATTCCATAGAGACTATCAATGACCCTGGAGGGATGTGGCCCTTCTGCCTGCATTCTAGTGGGAAATTCAAGATTAAATAAATAATTAGAACAAGTTAAGTGATGATTATTTTAATATAAATAAGAGTATAAATAGTAATTCTTTAATTTGGGATGGGCAAAGAAGGTTCTATTATAGGTGTGGGATTTAAACTGAGTCTTAATAGAATTTATATAGGTGTACATAGGGCTTTTCAGTCAATAAACACTTATTAAGTACCTATTATGTACAAGGTACTAAGGTAGACATTAAGAATAGAAAATAATGTTTGACTTGAGCCCTCAGAATGGTAACTGACATGTAAACTTAAAATGGCATTTATTTGCATAAACTGCAAAGGGAACCTGGAAGAGAGAGTGGCTGTCTCAATAGAGTAACATTCTTCCAAGTTTTACAGAAAATGTTTGGCTATAACAAATAGCAGCTAGGCATAATTCCAAAAAAAGTTTCAAAAAATGTAGAGAAGTATTTTAGAAATTGACTCTTAAATATGTTCACCAAGTCAAGAAAGCTCTATTGGCCTCTACAGTTACCATTTTTTTGTTTTCTTTTTCATCCATTTGTCTCTCTTCCAGTGACTACCCTCACTACTTCCTCAACTGTGAATTGTTTCACTACACTTCAAAGATTACTTTAAAAAACACAAATGTAAATATGTACAAAGTGTTCTTTCTGTATCAGTAGTACCCACTTTTCAAAACAGTTGTAGTAACTCACTCTGATATTCTTTAGCTCTGGAACCTGACAATCATACCAATGGCATGCTGAAAAGGGAATTTCCAGGCACATTATTAGAATTGTAATATTCGAAAATCCCTAAGATTTGTGCATGACTGCCTTTTATTATAAGAAACACATAATACACTCAACCTAGAAAACTCTTCTTTTCTGGAAGTCCATTTAATTCATGGTATGAAAAGTAATTTATTCCTAATGTCTACTGTAGCTGCTATGTAGAATATAGAAATGCTTCAGGAAAACTTTTCCCTGAAAGACTGCTAAAAGATATATTGCTTGCACATTACTTATATTTTCATTTAGTTAATACGGCTTTTGATTCTGAATGTCATTTTTGTGAAGCAGATTTTATTCATCAGTTTTATAGGGTAAAGCACAAGTTTAAACTGTGACATAAAAGCAAAATAATTGTTTTGGTTTTTATAATATGTGATTATACCATATCTTTTGACTGTACATCCAAGTTATATAGTCTATATTTAGATGTGAACAGTTCTTTGCCAGAGGTAAATAACAATTCATGAATCATGAACAAAGTTTTATAAGGCTAAAATTAAAATGATTCCTATTCCTAATCAGACTAATAACCAAGAATGAAGCCCCAAGTTAACATAATCATGTCAAAAGAATTGTTTTCTGCCCTCTACAACTCAGTGTCATAAGACCATCCCATCTGAGTGTTTCTCATAGTCATATGGATAAAAATGACTGAAACTGTGCTAGGAGGTGATTTGCAAGCACTGTAATTTACTTTGATAGGTGTCAGCTCTTTTCACTATGCACTAGCTATCATCACATTCCATCAAATAAAAATAAATTAATATTAAGGTGAAATCTTAAAATGCTGACACACTAGGATTTTTCTTGACATCTTTGACCTCAGGAGGTAAATCTTGACCTTTGTTAATAATATTTATTGCATCTGTGGGAAAACATCTTAAAAACCACCAAAAAACTATAATTAAGGGTTAAGATAATACTGGGGGAAAAAAATCTCTGGCTACAACCTGGATTAATCCAAGCTGCTCTTACGGGCATATTGCTTACATGCAACTGTTTGAAACTCTGAAAAGACCAACACAAAATATGATGATCCAGGATCAGGTTGTCATTCAGTCTAGTAGCTTTCAAACTATGTTTTGGGAATCCATATGTTTCCAGGACCTTCATTGCTTCAACTCAAACAGTCCAGATTTTATCTATTCTACAGATTATAGTTCCATTTAATGTTTATTTGTAATCAGTATAATATTTTTTTAATGATTTAAAAACCACTGCCTTACTTAAAATAAGATTTTATCTATTCTACAAATAAAAATTCCATGTAATGTTTATTCATAATCATTGTAATATTTTTTAATGCTTTGAGAACCAATGCCTTACTTAAAATAATCATCCTTTGGTAATTACCTAGAACAATCAACTTTATTTCAAAAAATTTTGTATTCAGAGATGCTTACAACACAGTGGTATTAATTCTAACATCCTTTTTAAAAGACAAAAATTCCTCTATTTGTTCTCATTTTAATCGTGGTGTAAGAGAAAGATGTCTCAGAAAATAAAGTCCCCATTCTTCTCTCCTCACCCGTTGAGACACAGTGAATCCCCAATATTAATTATTAAACAAATTGTTTACAAAAGTAGATTAGGTATATAGTGACAGCACTTTTCTTCAGGAAGAAAAGGAGAAGCTCAAACTTTCAAAATAATATAGAACAGTTTCTACTTGAGACATGGATGGGATGTAGCTAAAACCCCTCCAAAATTTACAGGTCTCCTTCATTTGCTGTAAGTATTCTTAGGCACAGGTCCAGGAAAGTAATTCTTTCACAGAAATTCAAGGGGATTTCCATGGAATGTTAAAGCTGACACAAATTTAACTCATCAGTATTTAGATAGACAGGTGAATTTAGTGCATGATATTACTGGAAAAAGCAAGGAGCTGAACTTAGCTCTCTAGAACAGGGATGTTCTCAGAAGAAAGAAGTTGTAACATACAAAGAATTGAATTGTATGATACAATAGCAATCTTACCACCATTCCAATTAATCCCACAGACCATTTTTTTGGAACAATCATTGTATACTGTCACTGACACAAATATCCAAAGGCTTTTTACTTTAAGGACAGAAGACACAATAACAGTAAGGTATCACATGATGAGGTCCCTATGTGACCACTAAAACATGCATGTGGACACACAGTGCCACGTGATCCTGAAGAGTCTCTGAGGATGACTATGGGTCTGTGGGGGGTGTGAGGGAAGGACAGATGTTTACAGAGAGGAGGGACCTGAACTACAACTTGTAGGATAAATAGGATTTAGATCCACAAAAACTAGCTTTGAATAGGGGTCTGAAAGGGGGTCAAAAAGTGTACAAAGAAGGAAAATAACAGATTTATTCAGGCAAGGCAGTGAAGGAAAATAATTTCTCTATAATTTGTCCACTATTGAAATTCATAAGATTTGAAAGCATTCAAAGGTATTGGACATTGTTGACTGATAGGAAAACATCTTTATGTTTCCTGATATCAGAAAAAGGCCTTGAGGGAGAAATGGCTTCTAGATGGAATCAGCAGTGGAAAAGAGCAGGAGGAGATGAAGAAGCAAAATCTACAAGACCAACACCAGATCCAGGTCCTAGAACAGAGCATCCTCAGGTATGGCCCTCACTAAGATACTCCACAACTACTTTTGACTTGGTCTCACATTGCATGTGAAAGAGCCATTCTCATTTTCAGGGACACAATCAGACCTTGCATTTGGATTTCTGATAAAGACCAAGGAAATACACCAGGAGGCGATTTTACTGTAAATGTCACCTACACATAGCAACGCAAGACTTATTTTTAAAATACAAATTGTTGATGACCCACACATCACAACTTACCTGAGCCTATTTCCTCATCTCCAAAATGGTAGTAACTATGCCTATCTTTTAGAGTTGTTGAGCAGATTAACAAAATATGTGCTAAGTGACTAGCACCTACCTGGCAGACACCAGGTGATCATAAACAGTCCTTCTTCACAGGCCCAACTGCCCTGTCACCTTAGGACAGGTGACAGTTCTACAGGTATGTTTACATTGTCCCCTGTCACACCTCTCACAGGCCCTCCTCAGTCACATTCAGAGAAGACATAATAGGAATAATTCACTAACATTTTCTCTCTTCTAATTCCCTGATTCTTTGGTGACAGGTGTTGACCTCAGTTCTCAACATCTTTCTCTGCCTGTCACATACAATCAGTAGAATCAGCAACTTCTGATATAAGTAAAGTTTTAAAATTGCCTTGGCTTACAATGAGATGATAGAAAAGAAAAAATTGGAAAGCTCAAATAGGAGGTGGGATTATTATTATTATCACAAAATATAGATAGCATGGAAGAAAGAGATATGGGAAATGTCAGAATGATTTTCTAACCTACACATGGAAAACAGATGGAATTTCTTGTGGTATAATAATGACAATAATTTAAAGCCTACAGATCTTTGAAAAGAGATAACTTTCAAAACCTCTCTCATTGCAAATTTGTCTTTAGTGAGGACTATAGGAAAGACCTGGATATAAAAACATCCAGTAGCTGTGCAATCACATTTAGTCCATATCAGATCGCATTAGCCCTGAAATTGACAACATGGAAAAAGCTTCCCTTTTCAACTGATCATCATTTTACTTGCTTAATTTCATATTCTTGTATATTTAGTAGCTAAAATCATTGACTACTCATTCTTACTTAGATTTTTTTTTAGTGAACAATTTTTTAAAGTTACATTTTATACCTGAGATTTTTACATTTATACATCCCTCAGTTGTTTGCTCAAAGATATGAAATGCTTCTGAATGGTAGATAAGAAATACATAAAAATAACTCAGTAAACAACTCCACAGTTTGTAAAACTTGATTGTTTCTAAGGCATCTCTTAGAGAGAGCTTCTTACCAAAGTCTAGTTTAGCTGCTGATTACTTTCCTCATTCTTCAACACAGAACACTTATCTCTGAAGGAGTCCTGAATTTAATCTCCATACACCCTTCGTTGTACACAGACACCTCCTTGCTTCCCTTCAGAGCCCCCTCTTTAGAGTCTTTCCACATACTGAACACCTACAGCTTTCCCTGCACTTGATGATAATTGAAGTGGCTACATATACTCAAACTCCATTAACAAGTTTGGGCAGCATCTTGAGTAATCCCAGAGAATTTACTGACTCTACTGATTGCTTTCAGACCTTGCCTGAATGCTCTGAAAAGCACAGAACTTCTAGTAGCATAGATAGTGACTTGCCAAGTTAGAGTCCTATCAGACAGAAAAAAAGAAGAGGAAAGAGGAAGAGGAGGAGAAAAATATTTACTAGCCTTATTACCTCTGAGGCATTTTACATATCATCCCATTTAATCTTTATAACCCTGTGAGGTAGGTGTTATTACCTTCACTTTTTGCAGAAAGATTAAAGAATTCACACAATTAGGAAGTGGCAGATCAGAGACTAGCTCATTTGACTACCCTATGCTACCTGTCAAACGACAGCATGCAGCAACCTCTGTGGACTGAAAGGTATTATCTTGTAGAAGTCTCCAATGCATGGTGTGTCTCTCAGCTCTCCGGTCTCCAAACAGCATGTTTCACATTCAGGAATCTTCTTCCATGACCTTCTAATGTCTTTGTTAAATTACCAATTACATTTCTGTTCAGGTACCAATTACATTTCTGGCATCTCACTACGACTTTATTTTAAGTCTTCATGATGTCATTAACCATTTGGATCCCTTTATTAGCACAAATTATTTTAATCCCCAAATACAAATAATAATAACAGGCATGGTTCATTTTTAAATGGCCTTGTGCAATTAACAAAGCAGTTGCACTTACATAAGTCACTTAATACTCACTGCAATCCTAGAAGAAAACATTGACTCCTCCATTTCATAGATGAAGAAATAGGCTCAGGGAGGATAAGGGACTGATTTAAGAACACGGAGCCAGTAAAGGGTAAACTTGAGCCTCAAAGCAAGTCAACTTCAGTGCTCTCCTGCTGTACAAGTATAAGAGAGCTGTAGGCTTAAATGCTCTGGAAATAGTAAAACACCTAAGGCCTAATAGCAAACTGCTTTGTTTAAGGAATGGTCCTAAAGAGATATATTTGCAGAGTTACTAAAGAATTTGCATCATATGACCCATAAAGACATGTTTATCTCATTGAAAATGTGCAGAGAACAGAATGTTCTGAAACAATATACGGAGACAAAAAAGGTTCTGTGCCTCCTGTGTATGAAGCAGCCTCCGCGACTGCCCGGCGTTGTGGAAATCACGTTGCCAAAGCAGCCTTACCTGACAACTGAACATTTTCTTCTCAGATATTTCTAAGGCTGCTAAATAATCAGGTTCATGTTTTTAAATTCAATCTTTCTCAGAAACAACTACCCACAGTACTTCAGAAGCTTCTATCGCCAGCTAAATACAGTACATTTTCCTGTTAGCTCAGAGGAGCAACAGAGCGAAAGGATGAAGCTGAGCTGGTCAGAGCCGTCCTCCCGCCCTAAGCACGGAAATCGGCCCACACCCCGAATGTGATTTGTCACTTGACTTAGGTGCCGGCTCAAGGGTGACATTTGCCATCTGCCAGGCCTCTCAACAAGAGGATAAGATTTTAATAGGAAAGCATCAAAACAGCCGTGTTGCTGTTACCTCAGAGTCTGTAGCAGGGCCAGATTTTGCCCGTGAAATTTTCATTCCTCCGACTTGCACTTTGTGAGATGAAGTGAAAGAGCGTGGCCTTTAGCCTTCAAATTCCTGTTCTGCCTGCCACAGTGCATAAGCCTGGCCACGCTCTCATCTCTTTGGGCCTCGGTTTTCTTTTCTGTAATAGAGGCCAACCACAGCCACTTCATGGGACTTTGTGAGTGAAGCAGATTCAGGAGAGCCCACACATGGTAGGTATTCAAAAAATATTAATACTTCTCCTTATTAGAGGTCAAAAATTTTTAAAAGAAGGACTGCCTAGAGCTTCATCCAGGGATTTTTATGTTTTGGCCAAGATCTCTCATTTCTTTATGCTAGAACAAAGGAACTTTTTCTTTGAGTCAGCTGACATTACCACCCCATGAGGATTCTTTCCATTTGGAAATGATTGACAAGTTTTCTTTAAAGCTTGCAAACTAAAGCGCTAATAATAGGGGTTAATTTTTACAGAGTGTTTGTTAGAGACTAGGCCCTGTGCTAAGAACTTCATAAAGATTGTGTCATTAAATTCTCACAAAGACCTTATGAGGTAGATAACATTTACAGATGAGAAATTATCTGACATTTGTAGATGTTAACTTGCCCCCAAGTCACACAGCTAAAAAAATTAAAAGCCAGGATTTAAATCTAATTAAAAGTTCTAATCACAAAAAGAATTGTGCCTCGGATCCTGTGGGAAAATTTTACAGAAGTAAAGTACTGCAAATGCTATTCTTTTACAGATTTTTTTCATTTCCAACCCATGCTATGATTTCACTTTTATATGCATTATTTTACATAGACATTCATGTGACTCTCTACCATTTTAAAAACACCAGAGGTTCCCTGACTCACACATAACCTTTAAGTAAAGCACATCTGCTTATTCATTCTCTCACCTTTTCTTTCAAAAAGAGGCAACATTTCAGCAAGTAAGTGGGCTGCCATAGATTTGTCTCTGAGTCACATTCTTAGCTTTGGAATAATATTAGTGAGTATTTTGCCTGGTGCCCTAATATCTCAGGAAGGAATATTCCCAGGAGAAAAACTATATTGAACATCTCCTTCTGAATCACTTTGCTTTAATAGAGTTTCTATTTGCCTCTCAAATGAGCCCTGCTCTTACTGTGACCACTGAGCCATTTACTTCCTGATTGTCGGCACAGGTGAAATCCAACACTGACTTCTCAGTCCAAACAACCGTGTTTACAAGTTTATAGGCTGGCTTACAAATCCTCTTCTGACACATCCATTGCTCTCCTCCATCCAATAGCCTGAACCCAAAATGCTACCCCGAGTGCCCCACCTAAGTGTCCAAAGACCTGTGAGCTATGTCGTCCACATCCTCGGTCCCTCTTCCCCCTCCATCTGCCCTGTAGTTCACCATGACTCCCTCTGCCAAGCTGCTTTCCATCATGCATGCTCCCCTCCAGACACTTGCTACTTCTTGAACTGTGTCCAAAGACCTCTGTCTTTAATTGTAGCACACAGAGTGCCAGACAGAAATGTCATAGGCATAAAATGCAAAAGGTTAACTGCCAAGGAGAATGATGCAAATACACTGCCTTCCCTTTGAGAAGGATTATCTACTTATGATTAAATGTTCTCTAGTAGGGATTTTTTAATATTCCAAAGTACCCTTCTGACCCTCTGCCTTCCTTTAATGAACTTTAATTTGTCTCCAAATAGTTAGAAACAGACTTCAGCATATGGTACTAATGGGAAGGTGCATGTGAAGCACTGGATCTCTATGTGATTTGTGTCATGAGAAAGCTGAGGAGTGGCCCGTTACAGCCGCTATAGCCATCCTACATGACGTGAGGGAAATTTCTCCAGAAATGGAGAGGATGAGCACCAGAAAAAGCATTTACTCAGTGACCTATAAAGCATGATCTACTAAATTAACTTAAAAGTTAAGGCAAGATTCAATTTCAAAAAAG